CCCCAAACCCCCAAAACCCCAAAACCCCAAAACCCCGATTCTATATTAATTTATTGAATTTATTTCTTATCAATGGAAACTGAAGCAGTAGCAAAGCCTATTCTCCAGAAGATATCAAATAACGCACGAGTAAGGCTAGATCCTCTTCATGAAAGTCACCTTACTGAGCCAGAGATGTCAGAGCTCCTCTATAAAGGTATTAACAATGAAAATATTTTGGAAATAATTCAAGTTAAAAATAATATTAAAGAGTCTGTTAAATGAAGCATCAGTCTAGACCAAACAGACAGCACTGGTGTTTTCAAAGGAGACCACAGCTCCTGCAAGACTCTTCAGAATGGAGACTCAAAGAATGACTCCGACAATGACGACCAGCAAGAGGAGGAAGCTGAAGGGGAGGATAACCTCCTTGAAGGTAACACTAAGCCAGTCAAAAAGAGAAAATTGAGAGGTATTTATGCCAAAAAGGTCCACTTTTATGTAAGAGATTGCAGATATGACATTATCAAACGGACAGGTAGAAAAGAACTTATGTGGAAGAATATTTACAAAGAGTCTAAACAGAACAAGGCTGAGGTTGATTGCTGAAATATCATCTGGTCAGACCTTGGCCTTCTACCTGAGAAGCTTCAAAATATGAAAGCATTCCAATAAAAATCAACTATTTCCTTGGAATGTACATAATCTCGCGAAAATAGCAACATGACAAGACTTTATAAAAAGCTAAATGCTGCTTTCCCAAAAGAGTATAATTTTTATCCAAAATCATGGGTTTGTCCAGTAGATATGCACGAACTCAGAGAGTTTTGCTGTAGCAAGAAGCGTCCACCAATGCTGATCTGAAAACCCGAAGCTTCGTGACAAGGAAGAGGGATTATCCTCACAAAGAAAATAGAGGATGTTCCTAAGGACAAAATTTTTGTTGTACAGAAATACATCAAGAAGCCTTTCTTAATTAACGAATTCAAATTTGACTTGCGAATTTATGTTCTTATCACAAGTTGTGACCCTCTCAGGATATTCTTATTCAAGGATGGACTAGCTAGATTTGCCAGTGAGAAGTATAGACCCATCCAGTCAAAGAGTAAGAAGAAAAACAACTTCATGCATCTCACTAATTATGCTATAAACAAGAGAAACTAAAAATTATTGAAAAGCAAGTGAAGAAGATGATGAAGAATCTCATAAAAGAAGTATCATCTCAGTGTTCAACAGCCTTGAAGAAGATGGTGTTGATATTGACAAAATATGGATAGACATCAAGGACATCATATGTAAGACCGTTGTGGGTGTCCAACCTGAGCTAGCCCATATTTATAAGGCATCTAACCCTTCTGATAAATTGGGACAAATGTGATTTCAAATTCTAGGTTTTGATGTCATGCTGGATTCAAACCTTAAATCATGGTTGCTTGAAGTAAACAGCACACCCTCATACAACACCGATTCTCCTTTAGACAAGCAGATCAAGGGAGACCTCATCAGAGATACGTTCAAAATCCTTGGAGTGTCCCAACAAGACAGGAGGATAGTAAAAACAATGGAGAAATATGAAAAAGTAAGTCCAAATTTATCTAATCCTTAGAAAAAGCGTGAAAACAACACCGAAGAGGAGCAACTAAAACTTGAAGAAGACAGTAAGGCCTTCTACCAAAAATGCCTTGCTAAGAAGATAAATCACGAAGAAAATAATCTTGGAGGATTTGAAAAAGTAAATTCTCAAATAAATTTTAATTTCCGGCTAATTTACTCATAGATTTTCCCACCTAAGGATGAGGCCAAGATGAAGACGTACACTGAAATCATGAAGAAAGCAACCAGCCTGTTCATTGAGTCTACAGGGACTAAACCGAAGAATGTACAGAAGGACAAGAAGGACAAGAAGGACCAGAAGTTAGCCTCCAAGATTGACAAGAAGGGGAAGGATCATCTGATTTCTCCCTTCAAAAAGATCTACAATCACTCGAAAGATATGGGAAAGCTGAAGATTAAGAACAAGAGCAAATCTGCTGTCCAGACTACTGTGAAGAAGAGGCTTGATTCATGTGAGAATAGAGCACAGAAGGACAATTTTGTCAAGGAAACCATCATTGATAAAGACTTCCCTGCAGAAGAGATTTGCTTCTCCACTTACAAGAAGGAAAAATTTAGAGAGCTTCACTCGCCTATTGGGTTACATGATCGTAACTGAATTTCCCCAGGAAATGACTTCAAAAGTATGAAATCACTATAATCTTCTAGGTAAAAGCAACATTTTAGTTGGCAATGGGAACAATTTGGCAGAGTCAGAATATCTACAATGTATCGAGAAACCAGCACACAAGTTAAGTAAGGTCTGAACGACTGGAAATATTGAAAATTATGAGAAGCAAGTCTCTAAAGTACCTACATCACTATTTGGGGAAAGCAGCAGTTTTTGTGAGAATACTCCAAAGAAATACTTTGATAAAGAAGAGCAAGTTTCCAAGTGAAATACTATCTTTGATGATTTCTCAACAGTTAATCAAAGAGTGCAGAGTGTTGTGAAGTTCTCAGATCTTGATTGGTCAACCAGTCCAGGTAAATAATGCCTGAGATGCTTTGTATACCAAATCGACTTCCTTTGCTTAATTTGGAAAAATCCAACTCTGATCTCCCTCCTCTAAACCAATCCATAAACCCTCAAATTACTTTTTCTCCTCTCTGGGTCTCTTAAAACACCCTTTCCACCCTCTAATTTCCTTCTAGAGAAGAGGCCATGAGACTCCAACATTTTCCTCCAAAAAGAAGATATCCAAAAATTTCCCTGAACAACTACAGTAACGCAGCCAATTCCCTGTGTGGTCGAGAAGCCACACCAGAAATTGCATACAAGAGTTTCGGAGAGTACGTGTGGGAATAATAGGGTTTAGACCAATGACAGAGAAAACGATCTGTCCAGTCAAGCAATAATATTGAAGCAAAGGTCGAAGAGAGGCAGAATATTGACACAGAGAAAGAGCAGTGCTATCAAGCAGGGGATAAAAGCCTTTATAAGCGCGATTGCAAGTCCAATAGTGCCTCGAGGACGAAGATTCTTCCATGTAAGAGTCAAGCACATGGAGAGGGATATAAGCGCACGGCACTTAACCAGTACGTGAAAAAGTATAAGGTATCAAAGAAGGATGCCCAACGGCCGCCTAATAAGAATGGGAAGGCCAGTATGTTGATTGATTTTTGATCACTTTATTTGAATAAGGATCAGATTTCTCTCAAGAACACCACGAAAGGTTCGAAAGAGATTTATTCCTACTTGCCAAATTTAAATCACAGTAAAGACTTAAAAACTAAGAAGGTGATTCCGGGAAGTTTTAAGAATAAGACTAAAATATCTGATAAGAGGAGTCATCTAGGTCCATCATTCAATCGTCAAAGCACTATTGCTTATAACTACCTCAACTCAAGTATGAGAAAGCGGTCGAATAATCTTGACAAGCTTCATGAGTTTGAGAACTATCTTCTTATTAAGCAAAAGCAGACCCATGAAATCTCTGCTCGAAGGGAGAAGCACATCAGTAATCTCAGAGATAAATCATGCCGAGGAAGCAAGGTAAGCTAGAGTGTCTAACTTGTTTAGATCAAAAAAGAGTATACCGGACTTGCCTCTAGAGTGCTCTTAAACGGTAGCAATAAGAGTTATGCCCCCTGAGCAATTACAAAAGGATTTCCAGATCTAAATTCTAAATAATAGTTAAAATTTAGAAATTTTGATATAAATTTTATTACGTTCAATTTTAAAAGAATGTCCTGGGGTTTTGGGGTTTTGGGGTTTTGGGGTTTTGGGGTTTTGGGG